AATGCTTGGATAATACAGCCCAGATGAACTGCGAGGAGATAGTTAAAATAAATAGAAGTATTTTTCTTTAAATAAAAAAAGCAACGCTTGAAGCGTAGCAAAGCTCTTGTGGATTTCTCTTCTTATGTGGATGGAAAAATACGGATAATATATATTTAATACTACTGTAGATATGACATAGGCGTATATTACATATGAGATATGAAGTACTTGAAAAGTTTAAAGATCACTTAAGTAAAGTTACAAGAAGATCGCCCATCTCGTGAAACTCCATGCGGGAGCCTGTCAAATTTGCGGATCCCCGCGCGAGTTTATAACGTTGAGAGTGGCTCAATTCTTGCTAAAAATAGCGCAATTAGCCATGGAACCGCGTGGACTCGGCGCTTGTGATTTCTACTCCGATTATGGCTCCAGTACAAACCAATAAAAAACAAACAGTTGTGGGTAATACGTATTTTAAAGTCTTTTTTTTTTATCATTGCCAATTTTAAATCTTACAATTAACAGTATTATTGTGCTAAGCCTCATGTGCTGGAAAAGCCATATGGTTAAATTACAGAATTAAACTGTTACTTCCTTGTACAAGGCCTACTCAGGCATAAGCGGATTTTTGTCCTAATGGTACATATAGGAGCCGGTGACCAAGCTCTTAATGCCTAAAATGCATGTTTGTTACAGATAACATGTCCAAGTTTGCACGCAGTAGTTAAAATTGCGAAAAATTGGAGAAATCGAAGTTTTTGCTAAAATTAATTAAGTCAAGTGTTACAGGAGGTACAAGGGTGTCCAGCAACAACTGCGATTTATCCAAAAATTGCGAAAAATTGAAGAAATCGCAGTTTTTGCTAAAGTCATAACAAGCCAGAGGGTCGATTTTAATGGGAAAGCGCCTTTGAACGGCGCATTCATAAAATATTTGTGGGGAATATAATTAGCTAAGCTGTCAACTTCTATTGTTTTGGACTAAGGCTCAAGTTTACAAAGAGACCCTGAAACATGTTCATCAGCTGTCGACACTTTCAATTTTAATTAGATTTCTTTCATCCCTCTCTTTAATTGTAAGCGTTAACAAGGTGAGATTAATAATCCTTGGTGGACTTCTGTCACGCTGGCAGCATAATAATAATAATAATAATAATGATACTTATAGAGGGAGCCCAACTCGCCAAGGCGGTTTTCAGTGGGGCCCTCATGTCCCTTAGTCAGGATGGTAAAAAAGTCGACCAGTTTAGGACGTTTTCCTGGGATTGACCTCTGGCATTTCTCAGCCACTTCCTTCAGGGCTGGTGGAATTTCTAGCTAAGCGTCTTTAAATAAACGAGTGACCAGATAGCCAAACGAAAACACGTCGCTAGCGATGGAATGCCTTTCACCGCGTTGCATTTGCGGTGCGATGTGCGGAAATTTGTTCATCGATTTCTCAATGTTCACCTTGGGTTTACGTAACCTCGCTTTAACAATCTTGCAGCTTTTTCCAAAATCGATAATTACGGGCTTGTTTTCCGATCCGTCAATGACAACGCTATTGCTCTTCAGATCGTTGTGCAAGAAACCTCTTTCATGGATGAAGATTAGTATTTCGCATGTTTGCTTTAAGATATTTGCGCACATGGCAACATCTTTAATTGAATTCCTTTTTCCGGAGCGCTTTCACTACGCAAAGCGTGGTACTGGAGAACCAGATAAAATGGTGCCCGATCTGTGGAAACATCAAACAGAAGAGGGATTCCCCAGTGGTCTCCAATTCCAGTGATTGCCGATGCTTCTCGCCACACTTCCTCTCTTGTCTTCTTTGGGGATTCAATTATTTTCATTTCTTTAACAACAACGCGGTATTCATTGCGGTATAGGGCGATGTAGCAGTTGCCGAAGGTTCCGTTTCCAATTTTTTGGCTTTTATCAGGGGCACCCAACGAGGATATAGTTCAAAACCACTTAACATAGCATTTTTGAACGTATTTTAGTATTTAAACGGTAGATATAGGCATATTTTTATCCCCTAAAAGTTTTTCATCTGTTCGGATTTCCTAGCTGAAAGTCTAGTGATCCGAAAATTATAGGGATCAAAACGTACCTTTTCGAAAATTTCAGCCAGGAAAAAGCTCCCGAAAACTCTAGGTGGCCTTTTTTAGGGTAAATACCCGTTTAAAATGGGTAATTATACCATTTTGTAGATGCTCGAAAATCCTAGGAGAGGCAGGCAAGCAAGAAATTTTACAACAAATGTTCCGAAAATTCTAGTTCTCAAATCGTCTTCCGAACAGATATTTTCCCGAAAATTGCCGTTGGGTGCCCCTGTTTTATCCACTTTCAGCAAAGACCTATTGATCTCCTTAAACGCAAGAGCATCTGCGTTCTTGCCGATGCTATTTTTTCTGGAGCTAGCTTCGATTTGTTTCCGTGAAATTTTTGCGGCCGGCACGTATTTCTCGTCGGTATGACCTTTCCGTTTTAACTTCGAATGTGATAAATTGACCCTGACCTTACCTCTGGAAAAAGTATTTGCCTCTGGAGATAGTTTGTTGGCCTCGATCCGTTTCTTGTTTGCGGGCAGTGCTCAAGGTAATTAAGGCATGGGTCCCCAGGTGTTAAGTCAAAAAGTAGGGGGGTGGTCTATCTTTCGATAAATTAGCAGTCGCAAGCTGAAAACTTGTCAGACACATAAACGGCTAGTTTTTATCTATTTGGTATGCTCCAATTATGCAAATAAGGTCACGTGACACGCCACGCCCAAATAACCCTTGAACTTAAATGGGCAAACATTTTCTTGTTTCCCTCATTTTTCTACTAGTTTCATAATTTTAAGGCCGTTAAGTATGTCATTTCTGCGCTTGGCAATGTCAAGATTTTTCAAAGGAAAGGCATGTTAAAATGATACATTTGTGTTGGGAGACTGGGTACTAGTCGAAAAACCCGTTTATTTTCAAAATAGACGAGATATTTGAAAGTTGCCAAGCACAGTTTTGTAGCGGCTTATATTTTGTATCTTCTTAGGGTAGTAAAGTAAGATAACTCTTGCTAAAAAGTGTGCCCATTTTTTCTTAAAGATATTTTAAAACTTTGAGGAGCTGTAAGGTCACGTGACCTAATTTGCATAATTTTGGTCTGTTTTAAGCATTTTTTTTGGTGTTGTGTAATATTTTTGGTATTTTCTGCTTCATGATAAACCATTCATATTATAGACCACCCCCCTCATTTTTACAGTAAAATGGCTGTTGACCCATGCCTTAATTTACCTGAGTGGTTCTGCCACCTTCTCACTTTCTGATTCGTGAACCTTTTCATTCTCCCCTCCCTCTTCTGGCATCTTCTGTAGTTCTGGTCCACGAGTCTTCTCATCATATTTCTCCTCTTGTGGCAACTCCTCTCTTTCTGGTACAAGAAAGTTCTCATTCTTCAATCCTTCCTCCCATTTTCTCCCCCGGGTGGGGGGTACTGTCATATATGGGCTGTATAGGTATGTGCCGCTGTGAAGGGTATGGGTTTCAAGCAGTTTACTCTAGGATAGGGTATATAAATCAGAGCGTTTGGGTCTAGAATAGTGTATCATTTTTCAGGAAACTGATCAGTTGGTTGAAGATTTTATCTAGACTAGGTGCACAGCTACTCTAGGATAGGGGGATTTGGGGAGTTTACTCTAGTATAGGGTAGCAAAATTCAGCTGAACTAGCTCTGGTAAAGGTTAAGGGTGCCAGGCTCCCAGCGGCACATCCCCACCCAGAAATAACTAAAGTGACCCCCCCCCCGGGTTTTCTCCTCTGCCATGCCTTATTTTGCTTTCTTTTCTCTCTTTTTGAATGCGCTCTTGAACGATACTTTCCATCCCTTACTCGGAATACTCGCTCTCCTTTTTTGCATAACTCCTCTCGCTCGTTTGAGTCCATGTTTTCATTCACGGTAAAAGACTTCCGATACGAAAGGTAGCACGTGGTACGTGAGAACTGTCTCTAAACGGAACCATTATTTCAAGAACACCCGTACTCAACGCACATATTAAAATTAAATTCCTTTTTCCTGTCCTCACACATTTCCCTCTTAAATGGTTAGGAGAATTTATTTTATATCAAGCGCTGTGTGATCACGTCCTTTATTCTCATAACCCATGTGATTGACAAGGAATGTTACTTGACAAATTTCTAGTTTGCTACAAGAAAATCGACGGCGAGATATTAACGAATCCGTTATAGCTGACAACGACATGGATCTGCGCTTTACGTTTTCACAGAAATGTTGATTATGTACTGGAAAGTTGAAAACTTTTAGCGCAATTCAAAAGCAAGCGGAACGAACACGGCAGAAGGTGATCGAGTCTTAAATGTGGTGTTTTTGGACAACGAGGAGAACAAAGCTTCAGTTCCCGCCATTGGATTTCTCAACAGGAGATCGCAAGATTTTAAAATAGGATATTTATCGTGGCTGACAGGACTTACGGAGCAAATAAACGCTTCCCTTAATCCTCGTTTACGTGGTAAGTGGCGAATTTAAACGGCACAAAGCCTAATACCACCTAAGCATTTTGCATCGCTGTTGATTTAGATTTATGCACTTGAATATTCCACGTTAAAAGCCACCTAAGGTTCTACCCAATTATCTTTTCAGTTGTGCGTACAGTCTTCACCTTCAAACTTTGTTATTTTCTTTAGCATTTAGTTTCTCACTTTAGTAGCAAAGTACTTTGCCCGTCATTTAGCCGATTCTCTCACTTGCACGAGCGCACGTTACTCGAGTCTCGCTTGTCACACAATGATCCCGGCTAAGGGAGAAGAGCGTTGCGTGACGAAACAGAACCACTGTGTGCGAATGAATGAATAAAATCTTTATTTTACTTAGAATGTCAGATGATCTCAGAAAGCTTAAATTTACACTTCTCCTGTCAAAAAAATGTGCTGAAGACCCAATTTAATTGTAGCTGGTTTTGTCTACTTTCATTTCTAGGTGGTTGGGTGACTTTACAATTCCCACAAGTTCCTGAAAGGTACTTTGGGCACTTAGCTTGTCAAATGGGATGCAGGGTGCATAGCATGAGGCAGGTACCTCATAAGAAGCCTCCATTTTACTGCCCATCAACAAGGAGAGTTTCCTATAAAGTGTATAGCCTCACTTCATTTACTGAAGCGTTGCATGAACAAACCCTCCTTAAACTAAATGATACGGCCTGGTACAGTGACCTACAGGAAGTGGAGAAAAGATCTGACCTTAGCCCTCAGGAGGAACTCCAGGCTACCAAGAAAAGTAGTTTTTGGAGCACTGACAGAAATGAGGAGTCGTCAGGGGATCTATTAACCAAACGTCTAACAGCCAAAGCAAGTTTGGGGGTGGGTCCAGGACAAGGAAGGACTACTAGGGAGGTAGAAGTAATCTGGTGGCCAGATCTATACTCCACCACAAGGAATGGAAAACTTTCAATAAGATTCTGTATTAAAAAAGTAACTGTTTGAAACTTCTTTTTATGAACAGTTTTTTTGCAGTCTATTCAATATTGAATTCAGGCAATGGCTTTAAAGTTGACTTCACTTCCCTGAAATATCTGGGAAGTTGTTTCTCTTCCATTTTGTACCTGCAAAGAGCAGTGTTAATTGTCAAACTTCCTTGTTTGACCTGTACAGAGGTTAATTTTGCTTTTTTATTTTTCTCTGCCCCCTTAATTTGAAATGTAAGCTTGACATGGATATCATATTATTCACTAAAGTGTAAGTTGGAAAGAGCATAAAACACTAACCTTGGAAGACAATGGTATCTATGGGAAGGTGTAGTTATTGTTGAAAATATTAGAACATCAATTTTTTCTACCAAAACAATGCAACTTCTTCACGCAACTTCAGTAAAACCACAAAAGCAAAGTTTACCTAATATGGACACTAACTAAACAGACATGCTATTTAATCTACTAAATGATGTTTTTACCTGTTAAAGGAAATTGAAAAGCCTATATGAATTTTATTGTAGCAAGTTAATGTTAATGTTAGTTAACAAATCAGTGGCTGCTTTTACCAGCAAAAAATCAGTTTTTGCTCAACAAAACAGCTTTGAAATCTGTTCAATCTTTGCTGAAAGTAGGGCATAAAGATTAAAATGATACAGTTTAATGACCACTTACTGGTCTACTCTGTGATTGGTCATTATCTTTTAATACATATGGTGGCTCCTAAAGGAGCCGTTTGTTTTTTGTCACCTGCAGTCAGTGCAATGTCAAACTCCCTGGTTTGACCTGCAGGATTTTATTTTTCATTCGGTTCTTCATTGGAATTTTAGCTGGACATCAATGCCATGTCTTTTGCCTGAAAACTTAAACAAGAGCAAACAACATTACTATTGAGACAATAACTTATGTGAAGGTGTTGACCTTGGTAAAATTGAAAAAAATTTAGAATTCAATCTCATTCTTCCTATCATAAGCATCTTATTGAAAGCTTTGAAACATTTAATTTAGTGAAAACTCCGCAGTTTGGGCGTGCCGCCTGTAAACCTTAAGAGGGATAGGAAACCCTTACAATAATATTGTCAACAGCATTTCCATTCTAATAACAAGTATCTTATTGAAAGATTTGAAAAAATTAATTCAGAACAATAATATTGTCAAAACCAGTTTCATTCACAGTTCAAGAACAGTATCTCAAGGAAAATTCACTTAAAATAGGCAGACAATCTACAATGGTGATATTTATATCGATTACTTATTTCCGTTGTGTAAAACGATAAGAAGTCTCTGGCGATGACTCCCCATATCATGAAAACTCCAATGAAAGTACAAGTGAGGAATTCCATTGTCTGCAGGGTTGTCTATGAAATCAGACTGCCAAGGTCACACAAATGCCACAACTAGCTCAACCTTCTCCAAATAATGGCTGTTTGGGCATTCCAAACCGCTGAATTGGAAAGGTGATATTCCATTGGGTTTCTGATACAGCCTTCAGCAGATTGTCAGCCAATTCAATGATGTTGGTAGGAGGACTCTGTTTTAAGCCATCATCATAGAATGCTTGGTGCTGTGTTATATTTAGGCACAGGAGACCCCAGTGGTTGCCATTTACGTGGATTGGAGTAAGGGTCCATACAACATCACCAAGATCCATTCTTGAAAGGTAGGGCTTTAACTTTGTTTGTAGAAATTGCACATTTCTGGTTAAAGCCCAGGTTTGTGTAAGGGACAGTAGATACAAGGAATGGGAATTTTTTCGCATGGTTTCCTCACTGTACCTCAAACATGCAGCATCAATCAAAAAGCCACTAATGTACCTCTCAGCAGCTAAGGTTGAAAGGTCTTCAGCATCAACCATCACATCACCAATTCTAAGGATTTCGTCTTGAGGTTCACTGTCAAAAAGCAAAGCCCTAATTTTATTAATCTGCTGAGGGGTTAATGTGGTGCTTGTAGTTTTCATCCAATTTTCCTCTTCTTGGACTCTAAAAATAATGGAGGAAGCTTTTGATGCTTTCATCCAAATGTCTAGAGCTCTGCTGTCAAAGACCCCGAGATCTCCAAACTTGACTGCAGTGTCGAAATCCTCATCATCACTGTCTTCTCCAGCTGCCGCATCCATCAGTCTATAACCCTTAGTGATTGCTGATTCTGAGGGCCTGACTGGAGACTGCAGAGGATTGTTAATACACCCAGGATCAACAACCAGCTCGATGTCATCATCTGGAATTATAATTAATTACAGGCGGAAGATTAAGGGTAGCAAGTTGGCCTCTGGAACAATCATTTGCAGCACAAATTCGTAGGTCAGGAATAAACAAAGATTCTGATGGTTGAGGAACAAAGGCAGTTTTAGTATCCACTGAGACACTGGACGAAGGGCTGCAACTGGAATTTGAAGGGTTAGTGGCGGGGCTTGATGAGAGGCTTGTGGAAGAGCTGCTGACTGGGTCAGTGTTGCTGAAAGCTGGGCTGCTAGCTGGAATGGATTGTGGACTTTGTGGCTGTTCCAGCAATGAAGTAAAACTGGTCAAAACTGTAGGAAAGAGCTGCTCCCACAGTGCATGATCATATTGATAGATAGGTATAAAACAGTCAGGTGATATTACCACTTGTTTTAAACCTTTGTCAAATTCATAAGAAAGAGCATCCTTGCCAAACATTTTGTTGAACAAGTTATTCATGGTGAAAATCCAGGACATGTCAACTTTTGACCTTGACACTTCTTTTTTTTCTGGACCAACCGCAGCCTCAAAAATGGAATGGTTTACCTGACATACAAAAAAAAAACATTGGCATTGGCAAAATAAGGGAACCAGACACAGTTAAAACAACAAAAACAAAAAAAAGATTTTAAGAGACTGTGTTCAATAAGCTCTAAGCTTATACTGCAAGTTTTTATGTGGTTAGTTTTCTACTGCACAAGAGGAAGAATGACAACATATTTATGTTATCTCACCCCATTCCAGGTAGAAAAAGATAAAGTGCACAGTAATGTTGTCACTGAATATAGTGTATGCTTTCTATGGGAATACACAACTCTCAGTTTTTTACATAACGTTGTCTCAACAAGGGAGAATACATTTGACTACACATCAAAGGGACTGACATAAAAAGAAGTTCCATTATATAATGTTTCTAGCTGGCAAAAATTTTAGAAGATAATCACCATTATTCATGCTCTCTATAGCCATTCTGAGGCAAAGCTGCAGGAACAGCAACTTTTCAGAAAAGAAATGTTGCAAAATCTCTTGGACCTAATATAATGAAATAAAGTTGATTATTCAAAAGTGCCAACAACTTCAATACCAACAAGAACATGTGATTAAACCAGACTTTGCCTTTTTCCCCAATGGATTCTAGTTTTCACACAATAAGATACATAGTACTTAAGAACATGTACAGTGTAGCTCCCAAAAACTGATATTTTACTAATAATTTATGGTATGCCTTGAACAATGACTTCAATACTAACTGTAAATTGGCATTTAAAATTTCAATAAAGACCTTTAGCATCAGGATTTTCCTGCATGGGACACTGCAAACAGGTCTCAAATATGAGAACGTCAAGTGGTCTTCTGTTCGTGTTTGCAGCTTGCAGTTCAAGTTTGAATGGCAGGAAGGGCTTACAGCAGTAGGTGACTCACAGCAATGTTTTTGCCACTAACAATAATATTATTGTTCAGCCTTACAGTTAAAAGCACGAAGCACCTTTCCACACCACCCTCTGATGTGCTAGTTAGAGCCTGTGATAAACAATGAATGTCTGCCTAAAGTTTAAAATCCAGGCAAAGTGAAACTGCAAATGGGTGACTGCAGACTGCAGTTTACAGTTTGCAGTATCCCATGAAAAACTGATGCTAAAGGTATTTCTAATACCTATGGATATTCTCCAACAGGAAATTATTTTTCTAACAATGAAAGATCTTAAGATTAAAGGATATTCAAAACAAGGATTTTCCATTGACTCAACTTAGATTCAAGAGCTTTTAAGAGGGTAGCTAAAATTCAAGTGCTTTTCATATCTTTATGAACTATGCATCATCTGTGGTATCACAAAACAATGTGAAAATGGCATGATGAGCTTCCTAACCTTTCTATAAAAAGAGTGCTTAGTTTAGTTCTAACAATATTTAAGTAGGTGACAATATTAGTTTAAAGTACTGTAGTGTTAAGATGTATGATAATATAAAAAAATAAAGTACTAAAAAAGTAAAATATAAAACTAACTTGATATAGCATGACCATGCCTGTCATGGGAAGTAGCCTTTGAATATAACTGATGCTGTAATGAGTGTGCTGCCTCAAAGCCTTGATTTGAATACTCCCTCAAGCTGAGGTGGTTTCTAAACAATGTTCAATGGTGATGTGGCCATAATCATCAGTGCCCAGGTTACAGCCAAACACTTCCCTTAAAAGGAATCCCCATTTTTTGCACTAAAAGAAAAAAGAGGCATATTTCCATGGGTGTTAAACAGTTGTCAAAATCAACATTGAAGACTGTGCGGTGACTCATGACGGCGGGTCTAAAATACAGGTAACTTTTCCACACTGTCAGAGTACAGTTCACCATGATACAGACAAATGAATAGTATCAAAAGTGTTCGCAAGCACTAAACTCTTAACAAAAATTAATGCTCTATTAGATAGAGGGGAATCTGTGTGGTTTGGCAATTCATCTATGGAGCATTGACATGTACTTCTTACCTGTGGAATGTGACCTGTACTTCATGAATATCTTAAACATTTAAGGAGAGATAAACATTTTACTTTTAAAATAATAATTTACGTGCCTCATTCTCATTCATTTTTTTAATCTAAAAAATTGGATGCAAAGTTTAGCCGTGCCTTTATCAGATATTAGACACTCATGAAGCATTTCTTTCTTTTGTTTTTTCTTTATGGATTATTAATGAGTTTTTGAATGTCAGTTAAAGTGGCTGGAAATTATTTTTGAATTTCTCGTCATGCAGTAGCTCACTCTCATTCAACGACCACATAATTAAAACAGCATCATCT